GGGGGGGGGGCACTGGACACAGGACAGTGTGGCCTAGATTGCAGGTTGTGGGGGGCTGGCTGCTCCTGTGGGAAAGGGCAGAGACAGAACCAAGATTGCCGCCACCCAGGAAATCCTGTGACTTCTCAGAGGGGCCAGGATCCCCTGCCTCCCACTAGGTGCCTTGGTCCACTGCTGGCACCTGCCCCCACTTCCTTCTATCCCCTGCCCGCCCGAGCCCCACCTGGCTGCTGTTGGAGAAGGCGTACAGGGCCAGGGGCTTCTCCCGATGGTTGATGAAGTCGATGGCCTCGTCCAGGCTCCTCACATTCATGATGGGCAGGATGGGCCCAAAGATCTCCTCCTGCATCACCGGCTCCGTCTCCTGCACGTCCACCAGCACCGTGGGGGCTGCTCGGGCACAGGGGACGGCTCAGCCCCAGGCATGGGGCCTCGGGCAGGGCCCAGGAACCTGGGGCTCCAGGCTCGGGAATGTTCTAGGGAAGAGAGTCTCCCCATAGCCCCTGAGAAGTAACCAGGAACCGGGGTCCAGAGAACCCCCAGCTTGTTCTTACAGTCTCGGGGTGACTGCATCTCAGACCCCTGGAGCCCAAGGTCCCAGGTCCCAGCCTGTTGGAGCAGCAGCGTCACCACTGGGTTGTGTGGCCCAGAGGCTGGGGCTGCTTTGTAAGGACAGCCTAGTGGGTGCTCAGGACAGAAATTGTGGGCTCACAGGACCTGGGATCCCGGCCTTGATGCAGCAGATGGTGGTATAGAAGCTGGGAACCTGAGCACCTGGGAGCTGTGGGGACCCAGCTCAGAATCCAGGGCTTGGACCAGAGTGGAGTCATGGGGCCACAGTAACGTGGCATTAGTGCCCCAGAATCGTGGCACCAGAGCTGTGGACCCAGCTAGGCTCCACCAGTGGGGCTGTGGGAACCTCAGGGCCCAGCTTGGCCTCCAGCATGGAGGGCCTTAGCCTGGGGGTCCTGTGGTCGGGAGAGCTGGACTCACCAATGTAGCGGTCACTCTCCTCACTCTGGCCCCCGATGGCCACGCGGCCACAGCCCAGCAGGCCCCGGAGCCGCTGGAAGTGCTTCTCATTGATGATGCGGCCCAGGTCTGGGGAGCTCCTGGGGTCTTCGCCATAGAAGCGGGTGATGGCGCTCTGCAGGGCGGGCACCAGCCGCTCCTGCACCTCGGGGCTGCACAGGATGTAGTCGGGGGCCACGCAGGTCTGGCCAGCGTTGAAGTAGCGGAACAAGGCCACGCGGTTGGCCACGATCTGGGGGTCGCAGTTGTCGTCCACATAGCAGGGGTTCTTGCCCCCCAGCTCCAGTGTGACGGGCATCAGNTTGTCGTCCACATAGCAGGGGTTCTTGCCCCCCAGCTCCAGTGTGACAGGCGTCAGGTGCTTGGCGGCTGCGGCCATGACAATCTTGCCAACTCGAGGGCTCCCTATGCATGAAAAAAACCCAGAGTCACCTTCATTCACCTGGACCTGGTGGGATGGGGTTGGCCTGGGGACTGGGACCCCTCAGCAGGGTTCACTTCCCGCCCTGTGCCTCCTAGGTGACTAGGTTGAGTCAGGCTCTCCCTTGCCAGTCACAGTACCAGTGGGACCTGCTGCATGTCCCCCTCCCCGCCACACGCTCTCCCTGCTTCAGATCCTTGGCTCACCCTGGAGGCATCTCTTTCATATGCTGCCCCGAACCCCTTGCCACCTCTGGAAGCTCCTCTAGAGCCCTGGGGCTAGGTGAAGGCCTCACCCCTCCCATCCTGCATGCCCCGCTGCCCAGCCACCCGCAGCAGGCTCCTCACCCGTGAAGAAGATGTAGTCGAACTTGTGTTCCAGCAGCTGCCCCGTCTCCTCGGGGCCGCCCAGCACCACGGCAAAGCAGCTCTATAAGGAGGGACAGGCCAAGGGCTCCCCCTGGGACCCCAGCCCAGGAGCTCCGAGGGCAGCCTCCCTGCCTGGGACAGCTCCCTCCATGCCTGGCCTGACTCAGGTCTGCCAGAGCTGGAGGTGGGCTGGGTGGGTGTGAGGTGGGGAGCAGGTCTGGGGCCTGGCAGCGTTGGTGGGAAGGCTGAGGCCATGGTTGGGGGCATAGGGACCCCCAGGAGACAGGTACCCGCAGGAGACAGGCTCCTCGGAGCACTGCTGTGGTTGCCACCCCCCTGTGTTACTAGGAGGGAAACTAAAGCTGAGAAAGGTGGTGACTTGGCCATGGCCACAGCCCACAGGAGGGAGTGAGGTTGGAAGTTGGTCCCGCCCAGCCCGCGGGGCCTCTGCCTCTGCTCACCTGGTCCAGGTATCGGGGCAGCACCTCGGCCAGGACCTTCTCCGTGTTCTTGCTGATCTCTGAGGGCTTCAACACCACGCAGTTCCCTGCAGGGCAGGGCAGAGAGGGCCAGAGCTGGGAGAGGGGAGCCATGCCATGTCTCCATTCACTCCTCACACCTGCGGGACAGGTGTCGGCCTCTCTTCTCTCCACCTTCAGGTGAAGAATCCGGCTGAGAGGTGACATGAAGGGCCCAGGGCCACACAGTGTGGTGATGGTGAGCCAGATGCCAGCGAGACTCTCTTAGCCACCTGGTGCCACCCACTCCTCCCTGGCTCTGTGGGCTCCATGAGGCCGGGTGGAAGGTGGAGGCTCGGCTCTCACCTGCAGCCAGGGCACCCACCAGAGGCACCAGGGTCAGGTTCAGGGGGTAGTTCCAGGGGGCGATGATGAGCACTAGACCCAAGGGCTCCTTCCGGATGAAGGCAGAGTCCAGCTGCGTGGCCTGCAGGGGGCCCAGCGCGGTGGTGAGTGGTGGGGGCTGAGACCCCAGCCCCTCAGCGCCACCCTCCACCCCAGAGGCTGCCCGGCAGGAGCCCCGCCCCCCAGGCCCTCGTGCCTGCCCCTCC